AATCTGTGATCAAACACTGATCAAGTTGTTCAAGCAGTTAGCTGAGTCGGCGCCTCCGGATTATATGCTCTCGGATGCAGATCCTGTTGCAGCCAAAGCCATTGTTACGTTCAAAATTGCTTATCACAAGGTTAATTCCCGCTCTTCTTCCAATGAAAACAGGTGCTGCTCACAGCTTTCTTTCGATCTGGTGGTGATCTTGGGAATGTAAGAAGGAGAATGGAAAGGCAGGAAAAGGAGAAGGGGGAGGATGGGAACGGAAAGGAACTTCACGGGCTTCTTTGAAATTCGACTTTGATGCTTCCTGTTTTTCTAACCCTTTCCATCGTAAATACACAAAGGAATTTTATCAGACCGCGTCTACACGGAATTTTATCAATCGTAAAAACTCACTTGTATCTAAATGCTTTTTCGGAACCTCTCTTCATAACAGTGTAACAGTGTTATCTGTTAACTAACAACCTACAGCCAACAATATTTTTCAGTTACTAAATCTCGTGAATCAAGAATTTTTCCCCGAAACAAGTGACTATACGGACCAAACAAGCCATGAAGATGGTTTGCGTTTTATAACATTTGCTTTAATGAACACCATTTTCAAGGTATCTTATAGCATTTCAAAGGAGGTCATGACGCTCTGCGCATACCGGCTATACTTTGCCAAACGCTTTTGTAGGGAGAACAGTTGAGCTGGTAATATCTTCAGGGGACGAAACGAACATCAAATCGCCAGCAGACTGACCACTAGGCGATACAGCTCTGAAACTGAGGAAGCTGAAAAAAAACTGAAAATGGAAAAAAGCAACTGAAAATTTTTGAGCTGTGCAAATGAGGAACCAGATCATGAATTTTAGCTGATCAACTATGTTCATAATCATCGATAGTCTTGCTAAAAAATTTACTACAAGATTTTTAACAGGATTTTGATGGTTAAAGAAAAATTTATTCCTCAAAACGAGTGATACTGCAATATAATGCTGGTTATTCATTTCTAATAGCAAACTTCTAATTCGTACGCGTATTTCCGAAGCCTAAATTACAACTTTAGCTAAGTTCCTCTACATTTGCTTGATTTCATTTCAAAATAATGAGATGTGCAAGAAGCACACTTGTGATTTCCGTAGCACTCAAACCAATTTTAGCCCTTATTGAACGCTAAATTCGTGCGCCCTAGCACAAATGCCCACAGCTAATTGTGACAACAGTACTACTACGGCTGATGATTAGTAGTGCAGTGATTTTCACCGTACGGACATTTTGGCTTGCAGTTTATGATGCATCCTTGTCGCCCATCATCTACCAACAGTTGTCACAGCGCATCCTCGCCACGTGCCAGGCTCGGGCTGTTGAATTGGGTTTTAAAAAGCTTCTGACATTTTTGTCAAAATTTTTTTCACTACCTGTGCATGAAGTGCGCAGTTAGCACGCGACAGTGATGGACAAGGCCAACTCATCCAGAGCATTTATGCATTTTCCTGAAATGTCTTCCTCCCTTTTCATTCTTCCGCAGTAATCTTCCTTATTACGCAAACCAGTCCTTACTAAGGGTAAGCCAGCGAACAGGATGCCAGAAGTGCCTCGTCTCATGCGAATTCACTGTCGTTTATTTGGACACAGATTCAAATTGCTCGGTAAAATTGTTTATTGTAATAAAAAAGCTTCGTATAACTTAATTACTAGGCTTTCAGGACTACCGAAGAGGCAATTTTTGTTGAAATAGGGAGAAGGAGAAACAGCTGGCAAACTCTGGAGGAAAAATCCTAAAAAAGGCAGCTTTTGTCCCTGCGCATTAAGACATCACATCCACTTAGTCCCGGCAAGTCAAATCGTCGAGATTCTAGGCCTGAAATATGTATTTCATCATCGGTTTTTATGCGTTTTTGCATATACGTAAATTGCAAAAACGCATATTGAGAAGAGGCTGTGTGTGTGTGTGTGTGTGTGTGTGTGTGTGTCTGTCTGTGTGTTCGCACTTTCTGCCACCCACTTTCAACCCGAGACCCAAAAAAGCTAGGAGGCTGAAAGTTTGGGGATATTTGCCCATATCATGCGCGACCCTCCGGTTTTAATTTCATAGCGGGCGCCTAGGGGGCGTGTACGGAAGCCTTGAAAAAATATGCAAATTTTCTGGCGGGAAAACGATTTCGGGAACTACATGAGCTAGGGGGTCGAAACTTTGTAGGGATATTGCCTGTGCATGTACTAGCTAAAGATTTCAAATTCAGCCCCCAGGCATGAGCAGTACTCACGTAAGGGCGTATGAAAGTTTTAGGGAGGGAATTGCTAACTCGGGTACCAGGAAAGCTAGAAAGCTGAAATTCTGGGGAAATGTTCCCTATCCAAGTGCAACTAAAATATTTCAAATTCAGCCCCAAGCTATGCATTGTAGCCAAGTATGAGCGTATGAAAGCTTCTGCAGGAAAATTGCTAACTCGGTAACCAGAAGAGCTAGAAGTCTAAAATTTCAGGCTGATGTTCCCCGTCCACGTGCAATTTAAAATTGTTAAATTCAGCTTTCTAAGTAAGTGGAACACCCAAGTACGGGTACGTGAAGGTTTTGGTGGGAAAATTGCTAACTTGGTAACCAGAAAAGCTGAAAAGCTGAAATTTTGAGGGGATGTTCCTTGTCCAAGTACAACACAAATATTTCAAATTCAGCCCCAAACTACGCATGGTACTCTCGTAAGGGCGTAAGAAAGTTTTTGAAGGAAAATTTTAACTCGGGAACCAGAAAAGCTAGAAAGTTGAAGTTTCAAGGCAAGTTCCTTGTCCAAGTACAATTTAAGTATTTCAAATTCAGCCTTGAGGTATGCGTGCTTCTTGCACACAGGCACTTAAAAGTTTTGGCGGAAAAATTTCTCACTGAACAGCTAAGTTACTTTTAAACGACGACCGTTGAACGGAAGTCTCACATTTACTTTATGCAAAATTTATGGTGGTTTGTGCTAGTGACCGCAAAAGGTAGGTGTAAAGCAACAGCCATTCATACAGTTAATGACCTGAGTAAGTCCAATGCAAAAACGCATGATCGCAAGGGCCCACCTGGTGCTTTCCAGCCTGTTAATAATGAAAACTTACACACTTTTCAAAACCACTTTATTTTACAGAATGCCGTCTGCTTCTTTTATCAGCTTCGGACACGAATACCGAAAGCGACAACTCAGCCAGTGATAATATCTCTGCTGAAATACTCACTCGTCCCTCATCGTCCCGAAAAGTAGACTTTATTGCATACCATCTTTATGCATTCCTTACAGATCAAAAAATGATTGAAATGGATATACTTGTTCCTTTTTTTCCATGATTTATGAGTAACAAAATCGAGGATGTCAAGAATCTAGACTTTGAACATGCCACATATAAGGTACATATTTCCTGTTCTTCTGAATAAGGTCTCTGGTTCAAACTTCGGAGCTATACTAATGCGAAATTGAAACACAGGCTGGAACGCACCAGGCAGGCAGGTGCGATCGTGCGTTTTTGCATCAAACAAAGTAATTCACGGGCCGTAAGCAATAACCACGTACACCTGGGGGCTGAATTTGAAATCTTTGATTTCTATGTGAGCTGGGAACATAAACTCAAAATTTCAGCCTCCTAGCTTTCCTCGTCCCCGAGTTAGCAATTTTCCCGTCAAAATTTTCACACACTCGCACGCAGGGCCCAGACGTGCTTGAGAGTTGGTATCGTTGTCTTGCAGTGGTGCTTGGCCAGGGAACCAACTGACAAAATTTTGACACTGGAGCTTGGTTGGTTACCGAGTTGGAATGCTCGGACAGACGAACACACACACACACACACACACACACACACACACACACACACACACACA